AGGAAAACAGCCTGATTTTTATCAGGCTTAATGGTATAAGTCAAGGTAAACTCATCTACTGTAATTAAAAATTTTGCACTGCTCGTTGAACAGTTAAAATCAAAGTGGCTTTAACTGGTTGTTAAGTAGCGGAGCTACAATTTATAGATACAATTGGGCAGTGTACCTGATTACATTCCATTGCTAGGTTTTAATGAGTGATTGATACAGAATTGCTGTGAAGCAAGTATCAATATGCCTTCATCTATTTTGACATTTTTGAAAAAAAAAATTACTGTGAATCCTAGTTTTAATATTAAATTGAGCATAGAATTCACAAATGCAGAGTTCACTCAATTTGTGCACATCTAAGCCATAACTGATTTGTATGGTTTGAAAGCATTTGTTAGTGTCGTGAAATAGGCCCTGAAACAGGAGACAAGAGAGAGAGTTTCATTGTTATAAAATAGGTGGTTTGTTTATTTTAACTGGTTTTTAAAGGTGCATCGTATTATAATCAATAAGCAGGCAGTCTGTAATAGATCACAGCATGCCTAATCAAACTGATTGCCTTCTATGATGAGGTAACTGGCTCTGTATATACAGGGAAGGTGGTGGATGTGATATACCTTGACTTTAGCAAAGTTTTTGATACGGTCTCTCACAGTATTCTTGCCAGCAAGTTAAAGTAGTATGGCTTGGACACATGGACTGTAAGGTAGACAAAAAGGTGGCTACATTGGACTCAAAGAGTAGCGATCAATGGCTCGATGTCTGGTTGGTGGGTTGATATCAAGCGGTGTGCCCCAAAGTAGGTTCTGGGGCAGGTTTTGTTCAACATCTTTATTAATGACCTGGATGAGGGGCTGGATTGCACCCTCAGCAAGTTTGTGGAAGACACTAAGCTAGGGGGAAGGTAGATATGTTGGAGGGTAGGGATACGGTCTAAAGTGACCTCAACAAATTGGAGGATTGGGCCAAAAGAAATCTGATGAGGTTCAACAAGGACAAGTACAGAGTCCTACACTTGGGACAGAGAATCCCATGCACTGCAGCAGGCTGGGTACTGACTAGCTAAGCAAAGGAGCTGGGGATAACAGTGGATAAGAGGCTGGATATGAGTCAGTATGCCCTTGTAGCCAAGTTTAATGGCATATTGGGGTGCATTAGTAACAACATTGCCAGCAGAGCTAAGGAAGTGATTATTCCCCTTTATTAGAGGAATAATCTTACGAGGAGAGGCTAAGGGATTTGGGCTTAAGATAAGAGCGAGGAGGATTAGGTAGCAGCCTTCAACTTCCTGAAAGGAGGCTCCAAAGAGGATGGAGAGAGGCTGTTCAGTAGTGACAGATGGCAGAACAAGGAGCAGTGGTCTCAAGTTATAGTGGGGGGAGGTCTAGGTTGGATATTCGGAAAAACTATTTCATTAGGAGGGTGGTGAAGCACTGGAATAGGTGGTAGAATCTCCATCCCTAGAGGTTTTCAAGTCCTGACTCGACAAAGCCCTGGCTGGGCTGATTATTTGGGATTGGTCCTGCTTTTAGCAGGGGTTGGATTCAATGACTTCCCGAGGTCACTTCAAACCCTAGGATTCTATGATCTTTCTAAAATTAGGAAATGTAAATAAAGAATATAACATTTCAATTTGTATTTAAAACACTAATGCATTCATTTTACAAACCTTCCATCAATTTGTACCATCTTATAAATATGAGCAACATATTATCTTGCTGCCCTAAGGTGACCATACATATCGTTTTGACTGGGACATTCAATTTTAAGCCCTTTTCTGGCTATCATGACTGTTTTGGCAAAAGTGGACATTCATCTGGTTGGCTCATGCCAACTTGATTAGTTGTCTCAGTTTCCCTTTGGTAAATATGGTCATCTTGCTGCTATGAAAACTAGAACATTATGAGACATTTTCATTGGTGTAAATGGACAACATTCATTCAAGAGCTACATTTTTAACTAACAGAGTCTATGTACCTGAAAAAAACTGAGAACATAAACAACTGTTTCATTGTTTTCTTCCCAACTCCTTCCTTAAACCAACCAACTGAAACAAACAAAAGCAATACACAACATCAACAAAATAAAAAAAAAACAACGAGTAGGCCTTTGTGGTTACAACTCACTTCCCCAGATAAGCAAAGTGGACAGAAAAGGAGGGACCCTTACAATTTATAACAGAAAAAGAAGGGAGGGAAGTATCTGTCAATTGTAGTGCAGGTGCTAATGAGGCTAATTGAGTTGGCTGGAAGTGTCCCAAACTTAGCTTTTGATGTCAATTGGGTGTTGAATATAAGGAAAGCAGGTTTTATAATGGCCCAGCCAGTTCAGGTCTTTGCTCAAGCCATGAAAGTGAGTGTCAAATTTGCATATGAAGGCCAATTCTGAACTGAAGTTAGTTTTTGAAATGCCTTTGTAGAAGAATGGCTACTTGTAATCCACTAATGGAATGGCCAGGTAAGTTAAAATGTTCTCCTATGGGTTTCTCTGTGTTACCATTTTGAATATCTGATTTGTGTCCATTTATCATTTGCCATAGAGATTGTCCATTTTGGCCAATACACATGGCAGAGGGGTATTGCTTGGCACTTGATGGCATAGATCACATTAGAGGATGTACAGTTGTAGGAGCCTCTGATGTGGTGGCTTATGAGGTTTGGTCCTGTGATGGTGTCACTTGTATAGATGTGTGGACAGAGTTGGCAGTGGGGTTCATTGCAGGGATAGTTCCTGGGTGAGTACGTCTGAGGTTTCGTGTGTGGCTGCTGGAAAGAATTTACTTCAGGTTGCGGGGGGGCTGTCTGTAGGTGAGCCAACAAATAAAAATTGTTGCGTTTAGAAAACCAAAAAATCCAAACATGAGGGCTGGTTCTTTGTTGTGATTGTTCAGTGCTGTTGAGATCAGGCATGCTGTGCTGATTGTTTAAATCAATACTCTGCCCTGGGGTTAAGCAGGATTTAAGTATTAGAAAGATAGCTCAAGAGAAAGGTCTGAACATTTTTTTTGCGGGGGAGGGCGAGAAGAGGGGCGGTACTAAGCTGCGTCTGATGAAGACAAAGGGAAAACCAATGATTAGTGTCAGAGCCAAGCCACAGATAACACTGAGACTGGGTCCCTGTCTGCGTTGTTTTAATGTGCTGAGGATTGTAATGGGTTTATGCAGTGGCCTTGAATGTGGTGAACGACTGCCCTGCAGTGTATCTAGTGGGCAAGTATATTATGATGAGTGCTCTTTCAATGTACAGTCAGGCTATGTTACCTCAGACTGAAGGGAGGTTGGGGCAGGAGCAAAGGCCTAGTCATTGGGCGCAGGATGACATATGCACATATATGTACAGGCAGTCCCCGGGTTACGTACAAGATAAGAACAAACCTACAGTCCCTAAGTTGAATCTGTATGTAAGTCGGAACTGGCGTCCAGATTCAGCTACTGCTGAAACTGACCGCCAGTTCTGACTTACATACAGATTCAACTTAAGAACCCCAAGCTTCCCCAAGTCAGCTGCTGCTGAAACTGATGAGCGCTGATTCCAGGAAGCCTGGGGCAGAGCAACTCTGCCTCGGGCTTCCTGTAGTCAGCCCCTAAGTTGAATCTGTATGTAAGTCGGAACTGGCGTCCAGATTCAGCTACTGCTGAAACTGACCGCCAGTTCTGACTTACATACAGATTCAACTTAAGAACCCCAAGCTTCCCCAAGTCAGCTGCTGCTGAAACTGATGAGCGCTGATTCCAGGAAGCCTGGGGCAGAGCAACTCTGCCTCGGGCTTCCTGTAGTCAGCACTGGTCAGTTTCAGCA